ACGCTATCAAACATGTTTCATACCATTCTATTCACTCCATTCTATCATTTATTATGAGCCGTCCTCCCCTCAACAGCCTCCTGTGATACCAGAGCCATATCTATATAGCTATGGCTCAGCTGTACGGTACTACAGTATATCTGCCAGCCAAGGACCTGTGTGTTTAGTAGCAGGATAGTTATCAGTGTGGTTCTGGCACCAGGTCTATGTTTACTCTGGCGTCTGTGAGGAAACAGAGGAGCGTGCCTCTTGTTGGAGCAAACACACTGTAGGACTAGGGTTTGAGTCTGAGCCACATACACCACACACACGATTGTGGTCTGAGATGGCTTTAGTTAGCAAACACCCTGTTTATAGGGTGTCTATATGCAAATAGAGTGAATTCACTGGATGTTATGTTTGTGTGTGTTGATGATATGTGTGTGTTATTTATTTCAAGTTTTATTAGTCATATGTACAGGATACACATAGTATACACCGTCCAATATATCTGTGTGGGTGTGTGTGTGGATGAGTGTATATCTTTGTGGGTGTGTGTGTGGATGAGTGTATATCTGTGTGGGTGTGTGTGTGTGTGGATGAGTGTATATCTGTGTGGGTGTGTGTGTGTGGATGAGTGTATATCTGTGTGGGGGTGAGTGTGTGGATGAGTGTATATCTGTGTGGGGGTGAGTGTGCTAAGGTGCGGAAAGTCTGTACATGTGGTCAGTCCAGTTCAAGTGTGTGTTGATATGTGTGTGTTGATATGTGTGTGCGCTAATGTGTGTGTTCTGTTTGTTCACAGGGACAGTGAAGAGGAATACACACTTCCTGTTTCATCATACCAGGAGATCTAAAGGACACACTCGTTTACCTGAAGCCCTGACAACCACCCATCCATCCATCCATCCATCCATCCATCCATCCAGCCATCCTTCCTTTCCCGTTCTTCTTGTATCTCTCTCTACCAAACCATGACACTGGACGTCATGTCTAAGTGAGGTGTCATCCTTTGCCTTTTTAATATTAGTATCATTATCATAGGTTTTATTATTAGGATTATTACTGTTCAACTGCTGTCAGTCATGTGAACAGCAGGTAGTCTGTTACCTCAACACTCATCCACTCACTACAAGTCTACATGATGCTGCTGTACAGAATAACCCTCAGCTGGGTCTTTACCACACACACACACACACACACACACACATTGACACACACACTCATAGGAAACACACAGGTGTGTGTGTGTGTGTTTGGGGGATTAGATCGATACTCGCTTTTACCCCAACTCTGATTATCCAATCCCTACTAGAATAGCATCAGTCCAGTAGATGGATGGATAGATAGATGGAGAAGCCTCCAGTATTACCTCCTCCTCTCTTCCTCCACCTCCTACTCCTACTAGGCTGCATCCATAATGGCACCCTATTTATTCCCCATATTGGCTGCATCCCAAATGGCTCTATGTAGTGCACTACTTTTGACCAGGGCCCATAGGGTTTTGGTCAAGAGTAGTGTACTACATAGAGAATAGGGTGCCATTTTGGACATATCCCTTGACTGAATTCTCACCAGAAGCTATGGATGGGCGGGGTGGTGAAGCCTTTTAACTGTTTTGTTTACCTGTTTAGAAGCATTCATTGGTAACATAAAGGGAAATCTCTTTTTGAAGTGTGAATGTACTGATGTTTTTAAAGTGTGGAATACTGTGCAAATAAACCATGGCTGAGTTTTAATGTGCTTTTTTTCTTGATTTTTGAGGATGAATAAATGCAACTTTAAAACAGACTTCTCTTGGTTTCCTAGTTGTTTTTGTTGATGATAAATGTTGTTGTACATTTTGCTGAGTTACCCCTCCTCTAGTCTCGTGTGGCATCCTTTCAAATCTCATCTTGTTGACTGGACTATGATGTGAGAAGCCCGGGCCTCTGAGGCTACCCTCCCCTCTGATAGTTGATTGTTTCAAGAAAGAAGAGTTGAAAATGTTGAACAGCTTCATGTGTTTCTATAGGATCAGAGAAGGGGCTCATCTGGAATGTGACTCAATATTCAAAGTTATGCCTTTGTTCTTTAAATCTTGTTGCAGCATCAGCTCTCTCTCGATCAATAACAATATTGGCTCAGAATCCTGATTCTTAATGTCAGGTAGCAACATGAGGAACTACATTGTCTCACACAAGTTTTTGTCCCAAATGGCACCCTATTCCATGTAAAGGCCCATAGGTCTCTGGTCAAAAGTAGTGCACTACAGGGGGGAAAAAAAGTATTTAGTCAGCCACCAATTGTGCAAGTTCTCCCACTTAAAAAGATGAGAGAGGCCTATAATTTTCATCATAGGTACACATCAACTATGACAGACAAAATGAGAAAATAAAATCCAGAAAATCACATTGTAGGATTTTTAATGAATTTATTTCAAATTATGGTGGAAAATAAGTATTTGGTCAATAACAATATCAGTCGTCCTGGTCCCTTTGCAGAAAAACAGCCCCAAAGCATGATGTTTCCACCCCCATGCTTCACAGTAGGTATGGTGTTCTTTGGATGCAACTCATCATTCTTTGTCCTCCAAACACGACGAGTTGAGTTTTTACCAAAAAGTTCTATTTTGGTTTCATCTGACCATATGACATTCTCCCAATCCTCTTCTGGATCATCCAAATGCAAACTTCAGACGGGCCTGGACATGTACTGGCTTAAGCAGGGGGACACGTCTGGCACTGCAGGATTTGAGTCACTGGCGGCGTAGTGTGTTACTGATGGTAGGCTTTGTTACTTTGGTCCCAGCTCTCTGCAGGTCATTCACTAGGTCCCCCCGTCTGGTTCTGGGATTTTTGCTCACCGTTCTTGTGATCATTTTGACCCCACGGGGTGAGATCTTGCGTGGAGCCCCAGATCGAGGGAGATTATCAGTGGTCTTGTATGTCTTCCATTTCCTAATAATTGCTCCCACAGTTGATTTCTTCAAACCAAGCTGCTTACCTATTGCAGATTCAGTCTTCCCAGCCTGGTGCAGGTCTACAATTTTGTTTCTGGTGTCCTTTGACAGCTCTTTGGTCTTGGCCATAGTGGAGTTTGGAGTGTGACTGTTTGAGGTTGTGGACAGGTGTCTTTTATACTGATAACAAGTTCAAACAGGTGCCATTAATACAGGTAACGAGTGGAGGACAGAGGAGCCTCTTAAAGAAGAAGTTACAGGTCTGTGAGAGCCAGAAATCTTGCTTGTTTGTAGGTGACCAAATACTTATTTTCCACCATAATTTGCAAATAAATTCATTAAAAATCCTACAATGTGATTTTCTGGATTTTTTTCCTCAATTTGTCTGTCATAGTTGACGTGTACCTATGATGAAAATTACAGGCCTCTCTCATCTTTTTAAGTGGGAGAACTTGCACAATTGGTGGCTGACTAAATACTTTTTCCCCCCACTGTAAGTGTTCCCTCTGTTCCCATTGTCTTTGTGAGTGATTGTTTATTGTGAGAGCGAGTAGCTCGGTTGAGCTACTCTTCTGTTTGTACTTGCTAAGGTGGAATGTTTTCCCTTGTTATAGTTACGTTTTCACGCTGGGAGCGTTTGATTTATGTAAACGTAATAAACTCTGGACTTCGGTGTTTTACCTCCTGCGCCTGACTCCTTTATTCACACCTCGTCACAGCTTTTTAATTCTAAAGGTCAAATAGGGGGTTCTTATATTTGTCCTGTTTCACTGCATGTACAAGTGGTTAACCTGTACGAGTGTGAGGTGTGAAATGGAAATGTGTTTTTTGCATATCCCAACTCTCCCTGAGATACTCTCGGAGAGTGGGGTCATGGCCAGGGATCAGATTGATGACGACCCTGGAGCAATTAGGGTTAAGTGCCTTGCTCAAGGGTAGATCAACTGATTTGTTTCACCTTGTCGGCTCAGGGAATCGAACTAGCAAGCTTTCGGTTCAAACAGGTGCCATTAATACAGGTAACGAGTGGAGGACAGAGGAGCCTCTTAAAGAAGAAGTTACAGGTCTGTGAGAGCCAGAAATCTTGCTTGTTTGTAGGTGACCAAATACTTATTTTCCACCATAATTTGCAAATAAATTCATTAAAAATCCTACAATGTGATTTTCAGGATTTTTTTTCCTCAATTTGTCTGTCATAGTTGACGTGTACCTATGATGAAAATTACAGGCCTCTCTCATCTTTTTAAGTGGGAGAACTTGCACAATTGGTGGCTGACTAAATACTTTTTTCCCCCACTGTATATAGGGAATAGGGTGCCATTTGGGATGCATCCTTTGATATTCTCTTTACCAGAGTCAACTACACAGATAAAGATAAAGAAAGGCAATGTTTTAATTGCTTTAACATTTTTGGAAAAAACATCACAAATATTTACATTAAAAAATACTTCATTTTGTGTCTCTAGAGCGGTTGTATACATGTTGAATATACTGAGACGTACAGAAGGTGGGGACAGATCCCCACCTTCCCACAATCCTAACCTTTACCATTAGTGGGGAAAACGCACAACTGATCCAAGATCAGCATCTAGGGGCAACTTCCCACTACTACCCATTTTGCAGAATGCAGATAGAGGGAAAGGACACAGACAGGGCCCCAAAGGAATGACCCCAGAACAAAGAACAGAGGAGAGGCTGGACATACAGGGCACTGAAATGATACTGGACACAGCTGTTTTTGGTTGAGTTAAAAGCCTTAATACAATAGATTTTACATTGATGCTGGAGAGGGAAAAAAATATATATAATATGCTAGGACAGATTACACAGAATGAATACATTTAGATATGTGTACTTGTTGCAAAAGTCTATTGCAAAGACATACAGTACTTATGACCTGTAATCCATGAGAAAGCTAGAGTTGGAACTCTACTACCAGACATATTTGTGTCCCAAATGGCACCCTATTTCCTATATAGTGCACTATTTTTTAACAGAGCCATATGGGGCCTAGTCAAAAATAGTGCGCTAAATAGGGAATAGTATGCCATTTGGGACACAATCATCCCACTGGGAACAGACGTAATTTCATTGAAATGACGTGGAAACAACGTTGATTCAACCAGTGTGTGTCCAGTGGGATGGTTTAACACTTATTCCCCCTCAGTATGTCAACATTTCACTCCTCAAGGTACATTAGAGCAGTCAGTTGATTTGACAGAATAACTGTTGTGTTTCCCCTTCCTAATCGAGTCAGTTTGACGTTGATATCCCATCATCAGTGCCACTCAGTGACATCGGACTATTGCTGATTGTTTTCTAGCCTGCTGAACTGAGTGCTGTATAGTTTAATATATACTTTCCGTGATAATATTACGATTATTCCATTCCAGCTTTCTGGAAATGTCAAATACAATATGTTTTTGCCTAAATTGTTTATTTTAAATACATACAGATCATACATTTCGTCTCATAGGGGCCGAATCCTAACTTGAGATCCACTCAATTTACTCAAACTTTCACACCAAACTCCAATTGACATCAAGGCAAGAATTCACACCAAAATCAGAGTCAGTTACTTTCAGGGATCATTATCTCAAGCCAGGAGTTTTTCCAAACGATGTTACCTGAACAGGAAAAACTATAGGCCCTATTCATAGGTTTATCAATCGTCATACATTTCCAGTAGGTTTTTTGAAGGTTGGTCGTAGGTTTTTTAAGGTTGGTCGTAGGTTATTTAAAGGTTAGTTGTTAGTTATTTTAAGGTTGGTTGAAGGTTACAGGCTGCCGTAGATCCTCTTGATGGTCTCTCCCTCGCCCTTCTCAATGATGCCCTTGTCGATGTAGGAGTCCACTTGCTGGTCCATGAAGTCCCTCAGTTTGGACAGGTCGTAATCTGGAATACAATACACAAGGATAGAGACAGATTATAATCTAATCTGGAATAATGTGAACAAGGATTGTGTAAACCCAACCCTGAAACTAAACAAAAAATAATTTGCATGTCATATCATAGGAAAAGACACAGCATTCACACAGATTTGTCTGAAGTGGGCAGTTCGGATTTGTCACCTTAAGCCCAAACATATCGTACTTTAACTAAAACAATGATTTATTGACTTAAACTGTTGTGCAACATCATGAGTAAGCTCTGGCCATCGTCTTTCAGCTCAGAAAAGTGGATTTCTACTGGTGTGGGTGTTTAAGAAGCAGTACATGAGAGCCAGGAGCTCACAACAAGTAGTTCTGTTGGCGTTCAAACAATCATTTATATGATAAAGAACCAGCATCCTATCAAGACACTATAGAATATACATGTAAGTGTACATAGAAGGGGTAGGAGCTGGGAGGAGGAGTGTGGAGGAGTGAGGAGGAGTGTGGAGGAGGAGTGTGGAGGTGGTTGTGATAATGATGGTGATAAGGAGTCAAGCAGAGAGAACTGTCCATCTGTTCCTCTAGCTACAGTATGTACAGACAGAGAGCCACCCTGTACCACTGACTAGAACACACACGCCACACACGCTAGCATGCACATACACACACATCTCTAATGGAAGGAGCTGGGCCAGGGTAAATACAGTAAGTGGTGTGTTGCCCAGTCGACCACTCTGTTTCTATGACTGTGTAATGTTTTCCCCCAGCTGTACTGAACAGAGAGAGAGAGAGCGACAGACAGTCAGACAGACAGACAGACAGAGAGAGACAGAGAGAGAGAGAGAGAGAGAGAGAGAGAGAGAGAGAGAGAGAGAGAGAGAGAAAGGAGAGAGAGAGAGAGAGAGAGAGAGAAAGAGAGACCTAATGGGTTTTAAATAACAGCCTGCGTTGAGCTGATGTTTCCATAACTCATTATAATGTCACTCAGTAAATTGTGCTTATAATATACAAATGATACAGAAACACATCAAAACATCCAATATAATATATGTGGCTAACCCAGATGCTCTATTATACTCTATGGGGGAATCTGGAGAATCTCCATTGAAAATGCTTTTAGGCCAGACCTGCAGTAGCCTTCATCTGCTTGGGAAACCGGCCCTATATGCACTGGGTATGCACCAGTACACCATTTACAAACCATTCCCTACACATTACAAACTGTTCCAGGGACTTTTGAGTGACTTCATAACTTATTTCCACAACTGTTCATATCTGGGTGAATAGATATTCTGGTGAATAACACAACAGTGTCAGTACCTGATGAAAGCTCACTGGCATACTCAAACAGGAAGTGAAACCTCTTTCCTACTGTGTGGTGTGTGTGTGTTTTCCTCTATGAGTTGCTCCATGTTGACAGGGCCCTGACACTCCCTATGATCTCCCTGTCAGGTGTCTCCTCTGCTGCGATCAGTAAGGACGAGAGGCCCCTCTCTTCCCAGACACCCACAGGACTGCCTGACTGGCATACTAATGAACCCCAATGGGGGTTCATTAGTATGCCAGTTAGCAAACAATTGATTTTATTTTTTAAATGGCTTGATCTAATAAAGCATATGCGGTTACTTTCCCATTGTATTATCACTTTCACATTGTATTTTGGTTTTGGTACATTTTTGTTGAGTAAGGCAGCTCCAAAATGCAGCTATTTCAGTCTCGCTGAGAGGAGAGAGAGGAGAGCGAGGATAGAGAGAGAGGAGAGAGAGGAGAGGAGAGAGAGAGGAGAGAGAGAGGATTGACGGACACAGGAAGAGAGGACCGAGGAGATGAGGAGGAGAGAGAGAGGAGAGAGAGGAGACGAGAGAGACGAGCTCCGAGCGATGATGAGGAGAGGGTAGGATCGCGAGGAGATGATGAGGAGAGAGAGAGCGAGAGAGCACGAGAGAGGACCGAGAGGATGCAGGAGACGAGCGAGGACCTGCACTAAACACACACAGCCAAAAGAGCAGAGAGAGAGGAGAGAGAGGAGAGTGGGGAGAGAGAGGAGAGAGGAGAGGAGAGAGAGGAAAGAGAGAGGAGAGAGGCGAGAGAGAGGTGAGAGAGAGGGGAGAGAGAGGAGAGAGGCGAGAGAGAGGGGAGAGAGAAGGACCTGCACTGAAGACACAGCCAAAAGAGGAGAGTATACTGTATATATAGAGAGGACATGTATCAAGCATCTCAGAGTCGGAGTACTGATCTAGGCTCAGTTTTTCCCTGTCCATGTAATCTTATTCTTTGTGATCTAAAAGGGAGAACTGATCCTTAATTAGCTCTCCTACTCTTAGGTGCTTGATAAATCCAGTCCCTGGACAGTACACTAAGGAGAGAGAAAATACACTCACCATAAGAATATCCTAAACTCCTAAAACATAACTATAACTAATTATAACTCCAATATAACAACAAACTCTAAGTGTCTGTGTTTATGGCTGTACAATAGACAGCTGATTGGTTATTTAGGAGGTCCCAGTGGTCCTCCACACCAGACAGTTAGACTGGGTTGGTCTCATAACAATGCATAGACTACCCTCATTAACATTTCATAGTCTTCTACTCAATTAACCACCAATAGGAATTGACGGAACACTTGGCTGACAGTTACAGTGTCATAACCAGGAAATGTTAATATAATAATAATAATAATAATAATAATGTTCTGGTCTGGGTGCTCTGCTATGAGGGTTGACACAGTTAGATGAGGGTAACTGGGAGTGGACACACATGGAAAGATACACGCACGCACGCACGCACGCACACACGCACACACGCACACACACACACACACACACACACACACACACACACATACACACACACACACACACACACACACACACACACACACACACACACACACACACACACACACACACACACACACACACACACACACACACACATACACACACACACACCAGTAATTAGGGCAGCACTCATCAAGTCTGTGTCCCAGATCCAAATGGCATCCTATTCCCTATGGAGTGCACTACTTTTGACTAGGGCCAATAGGGTAGTGCAAGTAGTGCACTATATAGGGAATAGTGTGCCATTTGGGATGCATGCCAAGCCTCATCCATATTCATGAGGTGTGGGGGTAACGCATCACCCACCACACGTATTTTAATTGCAAATCCAGACGGACAAAGCAGACTTTAATTGAACTATTCTTCAGTGTGTCGCCGCAGATTATCTGTGACCAGACACAGTTTTCAGTAGGAGGGGAGGGCGTGTGTGTGTGTGTGTGTGTGTGTGTGTGTGTGTACTAATGTTGGAACGTTACTTTAGCTGAAACTGTACACTGAACAATGGGACTGTTTGGGTCCTCCAGAGATTGTATAGATTCTCCAGACAGACTCTATGTTCAGTATGTAGGACAGCAGCCAGCCCTGTTGACTCCAACACCAATCTTACACCAGACAGATAAGGATCTTGCTCTCTCAATTCAATGGGGCTTTACATTGTTTACATTGCCAAAGCAAGTGAAATAAACAATTAACAAAAGTGAGCAGACACAAAACAATATAAACCAAAAACGATTCAAATTTAACAGTAAATATTGGACTCAAAAAGGTTTAAATAAGACAGACAAGTGTTATAATATCAGCTATGTACGGTGTTTTAGAAATGTGCAACTCTCTCTCTCTCTCTCTATGTCTTACCGTCTTTGCCCTCATCTTTGTTGTGTTTCTTCAGCCACTCAATGTTCTTCCTGATGGCTTCCAAGTAGAGCTCAGACTTGCCTGGGTGATCTAAAAGAGAAAGGGAGGGAAGGAGAGAGAGATAGAGAGAAAGAGAGTGAGAGAAAGAGAGGGAGAGAGGGAGAAAGAAAAAAAGAAAGAGAGAAAGGAGAGAGAGAGAGAGAGAGAGAGAGATAGAGAGAGAGAGGGAGAGGCAGAGACAGAGACAGAGACAGAGGGACAGAGAGACAGAGAGACAGAAAGAGAGAGAGAAAGAGTGTGTTCTCAGATGACCTATCAGAGATGGCAGATTAGATCAGCACTGGCGAAGCAGAGCAGAGATTTTAACTCTGCTGCACTTCCTGCATCGAACAGCAGCCATTTTGGGTCTATATTACAGTCTTAAAGCAGCCATTTTAGGTCCATATTACATTCTTATATAGGAGCCATTTTGGGTCTATATTACAGTCTTATAGCAGACATTTTGGGTCTATATTACAGTCTCATGTTGCCCTCAAATGCTCCTCGCAAGTGGGAAATACGAGGTTCCAACTGGGTTATAACCACTTGAACGACCCTCACAAGTTCGGCATTCAGTGTGTATATTACAGTCTTATAGCAGCCATTTTGTAGATATAGTAATGTACTAACTGAGGTGCGTTCAACAAGGGAAATAGTTTGCGAACGTTGGCTAATGTTAGCTAACATATTCCATTTGTTTTGTGTTAGACGCGACTGTTCGCTAACGTTAGCTAACAGTCTGAGAAGATAGTGTGCGGCGAACGTAAGTGTCTGTTTCGTGTCTTAACTGCCTCTAAAAATAATCAAGTGGCCATATAGACTTTCTACTATATTTAGTAGCAATAGCTAAGTCATTTTCAGTTTGAATATTGTCGCTAAAAGCCAGAGTAATCCTTACAAAAAGTAGCTGTTTGATGTTTCATGGTAACATTTTGAAATGTTCATTCAAATCATTCAACTGAAAGTGTTACTCTGGCAACATGTTCGCTGCAAACAGAAGCCTTGTTGAACTCGCCTCTGGTCTCGGTGGACGGCGCTTCTTCCTTGGTTGAGTCTTTCAGGTTCTCATACTCCTTCTGCATCTTGGCCGCCTCTGCCTTGGTGTTGTCATCGTCCTCTGGGGTCTTCCCTGCAACACAGACACAACAACAGTCAGTTACCACCAACCCAACTCAACCCGACTAAACCCAACCCAACTCAACCCCAACCCCACCACACCCGACCCAACCCCACCAACCCCAACCCAATCCAACTCAACCCAACCCCACCACACCCAACTCAACCCAACCCCACTACATCCAACCCAACTCAACTCAACCCAACCCAACCCTAACCCCACCACACCCAACTCAACCATCCCAACCCAATCCCAACCCCACCACACCCAACTCAACCATCCCAACCCAACCCCACCACACCCAACTCAGCCCAACCACACCACACCTAACCCAACACAAACTTAAAGGGGAAGTTCAGTATTACACGACCTGCCTGAGAAAAGTACCCTTACCTTAACCTTACATTTACCTTTCCCTTAACTATACATCAAAATAAAAAACACAGAAGGGAATAATGAGAAGTACATCGACTGGGCAATATTTACCTGACACTAGTCACCGAGCCACCGTGAGGTCAATCAGGTGGAATGATATGAGGAGGACAGGTGACTGGGTGATATTTACCTGTAGGTGTGATGATGCCAGGGTTCCCCAGTGTTTTCCCCAGCTTGTTATTGGTCTGCAGAGCGATCATAGCATCCAGGTTCTCTACAGGAGGATAGACATATAGAGGTTAGACAGGTCTCCACAACACCACTCATTCAGTACACAGTCTATATTCTCTATTTCTCCGTTCCTCTTTTTCCTTCCTTCTATTTCTCCCCTGCTCCACCTCTCTCCTCTCTTTCCACAGCACTACCCATTATTTCCTATCTTCTCTATTTCTGTTCCTCTCTGTCTTTCCTATCTCTTCTACACTCCCATTTCTCTACCGTTCCCTCTCTCTTTTCTCCTTTTCATTCCAGAACACCACTCATTATACTATGAGGGTCCTGATTCCAGAACACCACTCATTATACTATGAGGGTCCTGATTCCAGAACACCACTCATTATACAATGAGGATCCTGATTCCAGAACACCCCTCATTATACTATGAGGGTCCTGATTCCAGAACATCACTCATTATACTATGAGGGTCCTGATTCCAAGAAAACCGCTCATTATACTATGAGGGTCCTGATTCCAGAACACCACTCATTATACTATGAGGGTCCTGATTCCAGAACACCACTCATTATACAATGAGGATCCTGATTCCAGAACACCCCTCATTATACTATGAGGGTCCTGATTCCAGAACATCACTCATTATACTATGAGGGTCCTGATTCCAGAAACCCGCTCATTATACTATGAGGGTCCTGATTCCAGAACACTGCTCATTATACTATGAGGGACCTGATTCCAGAACACCGCTCATTATACTATGAGGGAGGGTCCTGATTAATCTCTTCAACAGACACTCCACGTCTAGTAACCAGCTGAACTGTCCAGTTGATACTAAATACAGCTGTTCTGTGAAACGGCCAGCTCTCTCTCTCTCGCTCTCGCTCTCGCTCTCTCTCTCTCTCTCCTCTCTCTCTCTCTCCTCTCTCTCTCTCCTCTCTCTCTCTCTCTCTCTCCTGTAGAGATGGCTCTGTGTCACAGCCCCCGTGTCCTGCTGTTGGTGACCTTTGCCCCCCCTCTCTATCTCTATCTCTCTCTCTCTCTCTCTCTCTCTATCTTTCTCTCTCTCCTTTATCTCCCTAAGGCAGATCAGTTGTGTGTAACAGAGGTGACTCATCCCTATCCACAATCACGGGTCACTGCGGACACAATGGCCCGTTGCCTGGCAACCCATAATTCCATCCCCACGTCTCCACGGAACCTAAACATAATGTCGTCAGGGTTGCCAAGGAAACCCCCGTCT